GTACGATTTACATTAGATTTATTAAGTAAAAATTTGTCATGGAAATACTGAGATTTTGCTTTACGAATTAATCTGCTGTGAGTAGGTTACGATAGTTTTTATACACATAAGCATTTTGGTCTGATGGGTTACGTAAATACATTTTGTATAATTTACTCTTATGACGGATCGACTGTAACAGTCCATTCGTCATCCAACATTTTAATTTCTTGTTTTGTTTTTCTTTCTAATACAATTGGAAAATGCTTATCATACAATGCACGAAATTTATTTTGAAAAATATTATAACTATCGTTTGGATCTTCTGCAGCATATACATCCCTCCAGTTGACTTCGTGCAAATTCCTAATTAAGGCCTCAATATTTCTCTGATTTATAATTCTGTGACCTATGATTACTTTCGATGATTTGATATTAGCAACATTTAACTTTGAAATGGTAAAGACAGGCAAGTGATCGGATACATCACAATACAATAGACCAGTATCATGAAATGAAAGTAAGTTATTTGTAAGTATATTATCTATTTAAGTGGCAGATGACTTCGTAATTATCTCTGTTCCATTTACTATTTTTGTTCTTTCCTATCACCTTTCTGTTATATGAAATATAATTTTCATAATAATATCTATAATGTTCTCTCGGTAACTGTTTTAATGTATTATGGGCGTTCCCAACTCAAGCTATGCTTTCCGGGTTTTCGCCTCCTTCCGTATCTGAATTATTTACTGTATACTCTATGTTGAATTGTGTTTCATATTGTACTGTTGAGAAGTAAATAAATGTTAATAAATACAATACAATAGTTATGAACAGGCTGTGGACGGGGTACAAACGAGATGGACGTATTGAGGACTGTTTACGATCGAACTAGGATCGTATTATAGACATTTTTTACACATTCTGCCCCGACCACAACCCGTTTTACGATTTTCTAGGACAGTTCCAGAACGTAGTGAGAACTAGTTTGGTGTGATGGGGGCTTAACCTGAATGGGGGGGGGGGGGGGAGAATGGTCCCAGTTGAATTACACATACCGGTATACTACATGTATTTCTACTCAAGGACCCTATAAAAGGCAGATTTAAAAGTATGAAAGAAAATATGAATAAAGTGTGTAAAAGAGACAAAAAGAAACATTTGATTTTTTCAATAGCTGTGACTCAAAGTACACCAGGGTATGCTCTAGATCAAGAAGTCCAAAAAAGCTTAGCCAATGGTTTAGATAGCTTCCGTAATCATTATACCACAAATGAAGTCAAGAGGTAATTTTAAGATTACATTAAACAAAAATTAAACTAAAGCCATTTCTAAAAAGGGATGGCATTCTGAAAATTATTAATGTCATAACAAACTGAAATTAGAACAAGTCATTTGTCAATTTATGCACAAAGCTGGCTGTGTAAATGAACAGTTAAGAAAAACATCTGCGCAAGCACCAACACTAAGAGTCTATTCCACGCAATTTCAGTTTCCCATAATAACTTATTTCTCAATAACATGAAAGATAACACAGTTTGTAACATACAAGAATGGCCCCAGTACACTGACCTTTCCAATGACTTCCATGGTCAACCTTTCAAATTCCTTGGTCATGACAACCTCAGTCTGACCATCACTTAATGGGATCAAGTGATTGACCAATTTATCTGAACAGCTATTGAACTCGTTCATCATGCCTATTAAATATCTGCAGAAAAGACATCACAAATCAATTCTTAGTAGTTTAGCAAAATGTATTGAAAACACAAAACTTGAAAACATGTATATAGAATGCAAAAGGCATTATTGTTATATATATTGTTATCTTGGTGCATCTAAAAAAAAATCCAAATAATCTGAATAACTGGTTTGGTATTCTTTAACCTAATTGAGTCAGTAGAGGTTTAGCGTAACTTTAAGTCCCTACACTGTATATCATGGTTCTTCCTCTAATATGAAATCTAATAGTGATTTCTCAATTTTTCTTTCAATGGTGTTCCGGATGCAAATCTGCAAAATCACATGCCACTACATTTCAAGATATATATATTTGTTCATACTTCATGGAATTAACATTGACTTCTTTATACACTTCTTGATCTTCTTCCACTCTAATCCTCATTTGCCTCGTACTTCATGTTAAATTTGAAAGAACGTGAATATATCTGTTTTCTTAGGAGTTTTCTTAAGAGTTTGAAATTGTTCAAGGAATTATTCTACTTTGTATGGCGCATCACATGACAGAACAGGTTTTATATCAAGAAGTCACTGTTACTAATCTGTTGTCCATGTTTCTACAGATCAAAAGAAATATCAAAGAGGAAAATGGCATGGACAGATTTATAACTATACCGTTCCGATTAAACAAAAGACCTTTTACTAGTAATCATAAGAAAACATGTTCACATGTTCTCCTTCTTAAGCAATTCAAAATGGATTAAATCAAACTGTGTTCAATTTCTAGTTGGCAGGTCAGGTGCATATGCATTGGTGGACTTATGGTTGGGACTTGGTAAACAAGCAGAAAGTAAAATATGACAGAATTATAAAATGACTGTTACCCTCCTCCCCCCCCCCCCCCCCTCTCCCCTTTCGTTTTATGAGGCAAGGCCTGTATTTGTAGGAGTCTTACTTGCGATGGAAAGCAGGATTAAAGAGAGCACGTTTCTTCATCCAGACCTCATGGTTCATCTCAGAGAGCAGACCATTACCTAAGGTCCTGGCTCCATACAAAGACTTCAAGGCACGGTACTGATCAGGCGACTTTGAATATTTGCTTCGTGTCAGAATTTCCTTCATAAGAGAAAAAATTACTCAGATTGCATCATGATCGAAAGTAATTAAAAATCACAAGGTGCCATTTGTACAAGAAATGTTCATCTCACTCTGCTTAAATAGAAGGTTATTAAGTAAATAGGTTAGTTAAAGGCAGGGGCGTACGCAGGATTTTTTCAAGGGGGGGGTTTTGCTCCCGAAAATTTGAAAATCGCGCCGGCCGAAAAGTCGCTCAGTGGGGGGTTTTTTTTTTTTTTTGGAGTCCAAAATAAATCGCAACGACTCAGCCAGCCGAAAAGTCGCTCAGTAACACTGGTCTCGAAATTTCAAAATTTGACATTTCTTCGTTGGTAAGGTCACCTTTTTTAGGTTAACCGTGGGAATAATAAAAAAAAAAAATAATAATTAAATAAAATAATTCCCAAATTTGTTTACACACATAAAAATACCAAAGGGTTGAACCCCAAACGTACGCCCTGGTAAAGGTAAGACCAGTATGAAATGCCCCAATTTCAAAAAATGAAATGGAAGCTCTTATTACCAATCATGTGAAAGAATATGTTTGAATATTACATGATGATAAAAATGTTGACGGGAAACCGCCTCCTAATTGATATATTTGGTAAATTAGTGTATCTCTCGCCTGTTGAGAGATATGAAATGCACGTGTCGCGCACGTGTGTGTAGTCCCATATACATCTTTCTGTGTACAGTGCTTCTAACTTTATGAAGACTTGGCCAAATTTCTTATCATTTTGATGATTCCAGAACCTTGCAGTACATCTATGCTAGATGATCAACCTTTTCTGATCGATTTCACAACGTTTCTTTCACAATGCAATCCCATGACCATAACTGGTCTTTAGCTTTAAAGATACTCTGTCCCTTCTGCACTGAGCCAACATCAAATTATGTAGAACTTTGCAGGAATTATGAATATGTCATGTATGTCTTACATGTATCTGTGAAATTAAACATTAGCAGTGTACTAATATTCAACTTAAGCAAGGACATCCGTTTACTTTCTAGACTTCCCTGTCAGACACTATTGAGTGACTGACTGACATCTTTTTTTATCTTTGGTAATAACATACATAAAATGAGCTGTAACCACTACTTGTAATGGCCAAAATGTAACTGTTGAATCTTTGAGCAGCACAAAACTTATGACCATAAGGATATTACTTAGGTGATTACAATCACTTATGTCGATTCGACAACTAATGGTCATTATTTTCCTACAAAAAGCCATTTTCAAACCCTTTTATTTTGAGGGAAGTTTTAAATTTAAGCATTGTGTTTCAAATGCCATTGGAATTTAACCTTTGTATTTTTTTAACCTTTAAAACATGAAAAATAATTTGTGAGCTTTCTTGTTCTTTTCATGTTAGTTTGGAAGTGTGTTATTGTATAAATGTTGCTCATAAATGCCCTCACATTCGAAATATGATGAGAAATACATGTAGCTTAAACGTTTGGACCAAACTTTCATGTCTGTGTATGTAGCCTTGTAATACACATTTTTTGGTGCAGTGCATGGGCCTTTCAGAAATACTGAGTCAATTTATATCATATTGCGATCATATCAAAACCTCACAGTACATCGATTCTGAAGTACTACATAATCACCATTGCCCAAATGGCTTCCAGTTTTTATATTAATCACATGACAAGACTGGTCATGACCTAACTTCTTTAAGTACATCGATCGATGTTGGGAACTGGTCATAACTGGTGTCAGAAATGAATGTGTAGCTGGGTTATTTGTTTCTAGTCTAGATGTCTAATACAATGAAGGTTTACAAAATAATGCTAATAATGTGAATTTTCCCTTCCTGTCATGACTTTTGACAAATTACATTTCTAATCTTTCAGTATCAGGGATAATCTTGACCTGAAACCTTGCCATCCATATATCCCTCTTTTGTTTTGTTCTTTTCTGAAAGGGGAGTAGTACTAAAGGATGGGGGGGGGGTGGTAAAAATAAATTATGTACTTATACACTCAGGCATTTCTCCATCCATATTATGAAGTGATTAGTAAAGCAAATGGCTCAAGAAATCATGAAATGATTTTGACAATAAATTCAGGAAGCTATACAATCGAGAAACAATTCTATCCACAGTTGCAAGTACAACCATTGCCCTATTTGAGGTATACATCTAATATCAATTTGTAGTCGAAATTGAAACTGATAGCAAAATGATGGAGTGCTATTTATGGGTAATAAAAAAAAATTAAAAACTCTCCTCAGAATACCCCCTATGTTTTAATACAATAATAGTTCAATCAGAATAATAATTCAATTCTAAACTGAAGTTACCTTGATAACTGTTGAGTCATCACAAACGATTGTAGTTCTGAAAACAATGTGGAGACAGTACACTGGACCCAGTTCTTTGCTCCTAAATATTAATCAATAAGTAAAGGGGAGACACATCGATTAAAAAGAAATCTGGTTAGTACTTCAGCACCGCCTGTATATAAAGTTGCCAGTCAGTTTAATGAATTGCAAATAAACTATCAGAAATTCAAAAAGTGTTTTTATCCATTCAGCATGCCAATACTGGGGGTCCTAGGCCCCTAGGAATGAAGTACAAAACCATAACTTCTACACTGCTTCAATTATAATCAATAATAAATCATGACGGTAGTCCAGTTATATGATTTACGTTGGTTGGCATGGCTCAGTAATATAATAGTATACAAATATACAGTGCCTTGAGAGGTTCTGGTTAAAACTATGCGCAAGAGGTGACTCCAATAGTACTATTTGCTGAGGGGCGCAGCCCCGAAGCAAATGGTACTTTTGGAGTCGCCGAGGCCTATAGTTTAACCAGTACCTCGAATAGAAGGCATGGTATATTTGTTTTATATCCTGCATCACAAATTTATTTAAAAAAAAAAAAAAAAAAAATGTCAATTTTTATCTAAGAAGATTTAAAATATTTTATTTTCATTAAATTAAGATTTGAAGAAAAAAAAATTGATTCAATTCAAAAAAAAAAAATTCACATTTTTTTTTCAACTCCCAAATAGTAAACCAAAATAGTACTCTCATATAGTACTTTCTAAAAATAGGTCAAATATTTCTGGTCATGTGACGAGCTCTCAACCAATCAAAAGCCAACAAATTTTTGATGCAGGATATAATAGCAATTATTACTGCAATGCTTTTTCCAAAAAACCCAATTGAAAGGTAGAAGAGTATTTCTTACCACTCAACCATTTTTGTCGTAACTGGTCCATTTTTGGCAACCTCTTTGAAGAGGGGTAGATGTCCAAGCAAGAAGCTGTGCATAAATAAGATAATTGAAACTATAATTATGCCATTGATTCATTTTTTCTTTTCTTCTATTTGACTGTTCTATTTCTCTTGGGACAAATGTTAGTCAAAATGAGGAATAAAGAGCTGATGGTGTCGAGGGAGGGGGAGGGGAAGGGATGGGGTGAGGGAGGGAGGCGGGGAAGGGAGGGAGGCAAGGTCTCATATGTCAGTTATATATAATAGAATTCCCCACACCATACAATTATTTCTGTCTAATTATCACCTAGCCCTGGCATTGAGGCTAGTAGTATGGTAGCAAGGCCAAGATCAGATACGCCAGAGAAACCACAAATTATACAGCCAGGAATGTAAGCACAATCCCTGACTGCCGTCAACTCAAAGTTATTGTGAAAAAATTGCTTGTAAGTTGTACATTAATTTGAGTTAATTTCATTTAAATATATAATATACCAGGCCAAGTCTCACACTTTGAGCCTTTTCCAAAAATTAGCGAGTCTGTCCTGCGGCAAATTAAAATGTCCAAATTTGAGTTTGCTCATATTTATACAGATTAGCAATGTGACATGACACAACCCATCTAAGGCCGCACGGAAAAACCTAACGTTGAAATAATGACCTGATGACACCACTAACTTTAGCCTAGGCGTTTAGCAAAGTATCTCCTTTTGAAGGCGTGTTTTGAATCGGAAAATCATCGATAATTGAGTTTGCCATATTTCAACATTGCCTTTTATTTAGTTAAGACCATTTTTAAAAATCACAGTTCACAAAACAAGGGATAGCTTGCAGAAGAATCTTCGAAGACCTAAGACTAGAGTAGCTACTATATAGTAGACCGAAAGCAGCAGTCTCTGATATCGACGGTTGTTCGCTGAGATTACATCTCGCTCCTCTGACCGCCTCTATACATAGACTGAACAAGGGCAAGTCCAGTCCAAAAATAACTTTACTTTCAATAAAAGCAGAAAAATCAGACAAACCAATCAAAAAAAATTGAGCAAAAATCGGATAAATAATAGACAGTTATGAATTTTTGAAAAAAGTATGTTAAACTATGGAACAATGAGAAATCAACACCAATTGCCAAGATGGTTATCAGTCTGTGACGTCATGTCCTCACAACTTATCATTTGCTTTACATAGTTTAATCCCATTAATTTGCCTTTTTATCACCCAAAACTTGATTTCCCCATGCCTTTGCCCAGGTTATATAATTTGTATCATATTGCGTGCATGACATTTCCCAAAAACCTTTATGAATTTGAAGAATTTATACGATTTTCTGAATATTGTATTTCATATTATTGATTTTTATATAAATAGTTTATCAAAATTCTTTTTTTTCTTGATTTAATTGGACAAAAATTACTTTTTATTTGTGCATCCACACAAACACATATTTCTAACAATCTAACTTGGATGCTGGTGTGAAGAAATAAGATTCTTAGGGTGAAAATAGGAAATTTATATTATCAATATACAAAAAATAATTAGTGGATAGTGAGGACCATACGTCACAGACTCATGAGTGAGTTGCCAACTTGTGTAGTGATTTTTAAAGTTTTTCATGTCATTAAAAATTCATAACTTTCTTATTAGTTATCCGATTTTGCTCAATTTTTTTTTATTGGTTTGTCTGATTTTTGTGGTTCTATTGAAAGTAAGTTATTTTTGGAGTGGACTTGGGCTGAAGTACTTCCTATGGGGTACCGTGTGGAATGAATGGTTTGGTTCGGCCGGACTGATATGATGAGATATGCAACAAGTTTTGTTTCCACTCTTTACGTCTTCACTTATCCACTTTGGATTCAAAATTATATTACATATTAATTTTAAAAGAAAAGATTTACGATAGCTTGCCGAGTTAGATCCTAAATTATTGTTTAATCCGAGAAAGACTTGTCGTCAACATTGAAGGCATGAATACATAATTATTATTGTTTTAAACCAAGAAGGTACACCATGGTAATAAATTTTAACAAACACATCAAATATACCTAGACATCTCGCAACCATAGCCATTGTAAAACCATATATTAATGATACATGTAAAATATAGATTGGAGCAATTCTCGTCAATTGGCTGAGTGTGATTTATATAATGAGTAATATTTGCATCTACCTGTAGTTGAAGAATAGATACAGTGCATAAACTGGAACATATGGAGATGTGGAGAAATCAAGTTGGAGCTCAATTGGAAGGAAGTAACGAGGATTACTAAAGCAAGAGAGACTGGGAGACGAGGAAAGCAAGAAGTTATGGAAATCGAGAGATGACTCGCGAGATAGCCTTGCATTAGTTAAGGAATTAATCCTTTATATAATTTTGTCTTCAGAGGAAGTAGACCAATTTCTTTTTAAATTGGAGATAAGTGTAAGTATTAGACAAATCGGAAAAAGAATTAATGAGAAAATTATTAATTTTTTTAAATGGAGATCAATACATGTAAATTAGATGGGGAATCTCCAACTGGCATTTATGTGCGATGTCACACGTAAGTGTAACGCATGTCACACACAAAAAATGAGAAGATAAGAGAGAATAATGTAAAAGAGAAGAAGATAGAGGATGGAGGGAAAGGGGAGACAGAGAGAGAGAGAGAGAGCGAGAAAGGAAGAAAGGAAAAAGCAAGAACATGAAACTGAAAGTACGAAACGAAACGAAACGGACGAAAGTACAACAATACGAAAACAGAAGTTCTATAAAATTGTCTTTAAGGATACTATTTCCCTTTTGCAGCCAGCATCAAATTCTGGAGAACTTTGCAGGAATTATGAATATGTCATGTATGTCCTATCTGTGAAATGTAAACATTAGCAGTGTCTTAGTATTCAAATTATGCAAGGAGACCCGTTTACCTTCTAGACTTCACTGTCGGAAACTATTGAGTGACTGACATTTTTCTTTGGTAATAACATACATAAAATGAGCTGTAACAGGTACACGAGCAGGTTGGGATGGGGGGGGGGCAAACATTCCAGGGGGCTCACATTCCAGGGGCAGTGACGTAGTGAGAAAAAAGTTCGGAAGGGGGGAGGGGGGCAGACGAAAAACCTGCATCACCACCAGTCTTACACGTAACATGCAGGTCCCGCGGAACGTTTTTCAAAGTGGAGTATTATCGATCAGGTAGAGCGTAAATTGGCGTGGGGGTCCAGGGCATGAGCCTCGGCAGGGGGTCAAGGGGCTGAGCCCCGGAAGCTCAGGGGTTTTAGGTATTTAATTACGGTTAGATTAGCATCCAGGGGCCCTCTGTAAGGCAATTGACGTGTTCCAAGGGGGGAGAGCCCCCAGAAGCTCAGAGGTTCTAATATTTAACTACGGCCAGATGAGCATCCAGGGACCCGCCTTAGAGCCCTTGTTGGGATCCAGGGGGAAGAGCCCCTGAAAGCTCGGGGGTTTTAGGCATTTAATTACGGTCAGATGAGCATTTTTTATACCTTATTTGTGACATTGGCAGGTCACTTATTTTTTTCTCCGTCTTTCTTTCTTTTTCTCTTTAACATACTTTTTCAAAAAGGAGGGGGGGGGGGGGGGCTCGAGCCCATACACTTTGCAGACCATGACATAAAGGCTTCTAAATAAGCGTATTTCGCCTGACTGTAATTTGGGAGTTTCTTATTTTCCAACAAACGCATAAAAAGGTATGACTTACAAAAAAAATGGAGAAAAAATGCCGGAAAATCATGTCACAACATCAACATTTGTAAATCACTTGTTTGGAATAAGAAATACATCACCCCCCCCCCCCCCACTCGGTACGCCAGCGTTCAGGGGCTCATGTCTTCCCACCCCTATCACAAAAAAGCGGACACGCTTTCCCATTCTCGCACAATATGTCCACGATATGCGCGTATCGCTATTATAGAGACCTCCATTGATAAATGCCGTATAGGTGGCATGCGCAATGTTTATGAAATGTAATTCCTGTGAACTTTCCTTTTTCTTTGAATGGAATTGTAAATGTGATTTAATTCAGGTTTTTATTATTGTTACGTTCTTTTGGTTTAAAAATACAAACCATGTTTACTCCTTTACTTTTTTTTTTGGAGGGGGGGGGGGGGCGTTTTTTTTTTTGGGGGGGGGGGGGCAAAAATGCGTTTCCCCCCCCCACTTCCGGCGCCTTTGTACACGAGCATTGAATCTTTGTGCAGCACAAAACGTACGACCATTCGGTAAAAGGGTCTGAAAATCAGACTATTACTTAGATGGTTGCAATCACTTATGTCGATTCGACAACAATTACTAATGGTCGTTATTTTTCCACTAAAAGCCAGTTTCAAGCCCCTTCGTTTTGAGGAAAGTTCTAAATTAGTATTGTCTTTCAAATGCCGCTGGGATTGAACCTTTTCTTTTTTTTTTCGCCTGCAATTTGGGACATAGTACCTTTAAGAGAGAAAGAGAGGTTATTTCTAAAATTAAATTTTACAATTTCTATCGCTTGTGACGACTACTTTGAATTTCCGGAAAAAAAAAAAAATCAAGAACTTCCTGGGGCTCCGCCCCAAGACTCTCGGCAAAGGCAATTTATTCACACAATTTCTTGCTGTATGCTGCCTCGAGATCACTGGAGCGAAGGAAGGTAACAATAAGAATCCATATTCAGTGAAGGATTCACTATGAATATGACTGACAAAGAAAGCTGCCTTGAGATCACAAGCGAAGAAAGGTAAGAATCCCTGAGTGAAGGATTTATCCTTTGTATGCAGACGGATTCTTTTACCATCCTTGACCAATTTTATGAGATGGAATGTTAAATCTGAGGGCTTTTTGTCCTCTTTGAAAAGAGCACACAATAAGGGCAGTGCAACTTAAATATCAAGGGATGGATTCAAGATTAATTCTAGAATGAAAGGAAAGGCTATTCGACTTTCAAGAGCGATAAAAACTCTAATCCATCCCAGGCCTTGAAATTTAAAGTGCACTTCCCCCACTGTGTGCTCTTTTCAAAGAGGATTAAGAAAATCTATTAAGAAAAAAAAACACTTTTATAAACGATTTCGTTTTAAGCCAACGTGTGTGAATGAAGCAATATATATACGAAATATCGTTATAAGTTAAATACACTTCTACGTTTTGCTAAAAGAAAATATTTCTATGAAAAATTTGACAAAGTCAAAGGAAATTTAAAGAAAACGAGGTAATTTTTAAACGATATTCTAGGTAGAAACAAACCATCAAAAGCCAATGGAATTATTCACCAAGATATCAAGGTAGAAGATCCGTTTGATGTGGCAAATAAATTAATGAATTTTTTGTGAGTGTAGGAGATAACCTTACACGATCTTTACCAAATCCATGTGCAATATTCTCTGACTTTATGCCTCAAATGTTTGCCAAATCTTTGTTTTTTAACCCTATATACCGAACATGAAGTTGTTGATGTTATAAAGAATATTAGTTCCGGAAAGAGCCTTGGATACGATAACATATCTCCCGATATTCTTAAACCTAGTATATATTTCATTATTAAAACCTTGACTCCAGTGGCGTACCTGGGGTACTCCGTCAGGGGGGCAAGCGTCCGAAACAAACAAAAAAGGCGATGCTAATTTTCACTTCTGGCGAGCCAGCGAGCAAAAAAATCTTTAAGTAACGTTTGGTATATAAACTGGTATTGTTGCAAGTTGGGGGTGGGAACATTCACTTGTTAGCGACGTTAATTTCATTTTTTTGCAAACGAGCGTAGCGAGCAAGAAAAAAAAAATCGCTTCTTTTTTAATAATTGCCACTTAGACTTGGTTCAATTGTCCCATGCAGGGCCCGGGAACAATATTGTGTTTAGGGTGATTTTATACCCATTTTAGCTAGCGAGCGAAAATACATCTTTCTCTCAATGAATTGCTATATAAAATTTGTTTCATTGTTGCAGGTCGGGGCGGGCACAATCGTGTTTAAGGCAATGTCAATCCCATTTTGGCGGGCAGGCAATCCCCTACATTTCTCTTTTAATGATATTGTAGCAGGTTAGTGGTGGGCACATAATTCCACGAGCTTGCGAGCGTAGCGAGCGAGCGAAAAAATTCACTTCTCTTTTATAGGGAAAATATGGTACATAAAACTTGGGTTCATTGTTCCATGTCAGGGACGTGATTATTAAAAGCGGTGTTATTTCTATTTTGGCGAGCGAGCGAGTAAAAAAAAAAATCACTTCTCTTTTTTAGGGAAAATATTGTACATAAAACTTGGGTTCATTGTTCCATGTCAGGGACGTGATTATTAAAAGCGGTGTTATTTCTATTTTGGCGAGCGAGCGAGTAAAAAAAAAAAATCACTTCTCTTTTATAGGGAAAATATGGTACATAAACTTGGGTTCATTGTTCCATGTCAGGGACGTGATTATTAAAAGCGGTGTTATTTCTATTTTGGCGAGCGAGCGTAGCGAGCGAGCAAAATTTTTGTAATGATAATTGGTTCATAAATTTCAGATATTTTTGTTGCAGGGCAGGGCTTACACAATCATGTCTAAGGTGATGTTAATTCCGTTTTGGCGAGCACGAGCACACCAAATCTTCTTTGAATAACGTTTGGTACATAATTATTAACTGGTTGTTGCAGGTTGGGGGCGGGCACGTTAGCGGTGGCAATTCCATTTTGGCGAGCGAGCATAGCGAGCAAGCAAAAAAAAAAAAAAAAAAAATTCTTTAATAGAAATTAATAAATAAACTTGTTTTTATTGGTGCAGGTCAGGATGGACGCAATCGCGTTAAACGCGATTCAATTCCTAATTTGGCGAGAGGGCGAAAAAAACTCTTCCATTTTTAATGATATTGTTGCAGGTCAAGGGTGGGCACAATTGTTTCCAAAGCAATGTCTATTCATCTTATTCGCGAGCGAGTGTAGCGAGCGAAAAAAATGAATTAGTCGCTTTTAGTAACATTTGGTACATACATTGTGTGTTATTGTTGCCATGGTTGCAGGTCGGTGCCCGTCGGGGCAGGCACAATTGTATTCTAGGCAATGCTAATCCTTTTCTTTTTTCAAAAATAGGCTAGCAAGCAGTTCGCGCCAGCGAAGAGTTTCAAATTATTATATAACTTATATTTTCCTATTTTCATTTGTCTTATTTTTTCAGGGCCGTATGCGGAATATTTTTCTGGTGGGGGAGGGGGAAAGATGAGTTAAAAGTTTTCGAAGAATCTCAAAAGCAAAAGGAGTGAAGGGAGTTCAAGCGACCGAACTGGTCATGAGGGTACTTTTGCATTTTCAAAAGTAGAATTGAAGGATTTGGTATAGGCCTACACTACATTTTCAGGAAAAAACTGTACGTTTTCAAAATATCTGGGGTCAACTGCCTTCCTCCCCCCCCCCCCTGTTGCGTACGGCCATGGTCTTTTTTTTTCAATTTCCCCATTTTTTCCTTTCCTTTTTCTTTTCCCTTTTTCTTCTCCTTTTCTCTCTTCTTCCTTTTTTCTTTTCTTTTCCTTTTTTCTTTTTTTCTTTTTCTTTCCTTTAATTCTTCCCTTTTCCTTTTTTCTTTTTTTTCGTTCCTTTCTTTTCTTTTCTTTTCTTTCCCCTTTTTCTTTTTTTTCCGGTCAGGGGGCACTCTGCCCCCCCCCCCCCCCCCTGCCCCCCCCCATAGGTACGCCAGTGCTTGACTCACATATGTAATCAATCTATCTATACAAACCGGCGTCTTTCCTGATAAGATGAAAAAAGCAAAAGCTACTCCTATTTATAAAAAGGGTGGTAAATTTGACTGTAATAATTACAGACCAATATCTGTTTTGCCATCGTTTTCTAAAGTTCTCGAAAGACTCGTATATAATACATTGTGTAATTTTTTTTATCATGAATAATTTGCTTAGTCCTAACCAATATGGTTTTAGGAAGAACTGTTCAACTGAATTTGCATTGATTGAACTTTATGACATATTCTTAAATGCATTAATACAAACAAACATGCAATCACTATTTTCATGGATCTATCGAAGGCGTTCGATACTCTCTCACACTCAATACTGTCATCTAAGTTATCATTTTATGGAATAAGAGGCTTACCACATTCTTGGTTTTGTAGTTATTTAAGAAATAGGAAACAGTTTACTCTATATGATGGTCAATCATCAAATTCTAAAATGATTTCATCCGGTGTTCCTCAGGGGAGTATACTCGGCCCACTTTTATTTTTAATATATATTAATGACATAGTAAACTGTTCAGATTTCTTTAAATTTGTCTTATTTGCAGATGATACGTCACTGATAGCCTCTGATGTAAATTTTAATTCATTAGTCCGTAAGATTAATATAAACCTGGAACATGTGTATAATTGGCTTGTTTGTAATAAATTGTAGTTAACTATTTTGAAAACTACGTTTGTAATTTTTAGGAATAAACAAAATAAAAGACCTGACTACTCTGACGTAAAACTGTTACTAAACAGGTCTGAGTTGAAACAATATTCTACTTTTACATACTTAGGCGTACAGTTAGATGAATTCTTAACATGGGACTCTCACATTAATGTAACTTATAGTAAGATATCAAAAATTACTGGGATAATGAACAATGTGAAATGTATATTACCACCTAAACTGCTATACAAGACAATTTTCTCTCTTGAAAGTGAAATAACACTTTCAATTCATTTTAGAAATAACCTCTCTTTTCACCTAAAGACAATTTCTCTCTTGAAAGTCAAATAAACTCGAGAGCATCGATCCTGGGGCTCTGCCAGGCCCCTCAAGCTCTACGGATTCATTAGAAAGCAAAATATAAGCCCACTCAATAATTAATATATATTCAAACTTTATAGCGATTCATCCAAATGAAAAATCCACGTAAGAGGCATTTTGAAAGTTTTAAGAGAATTCCTTCAAATTCAGGAATGGGGTGTTCTTTTTCAGGAAACTCTATTTAAACGTGTGGAAGCACTCAGGGCGGCTCTGTTTTTTTCTTCAACTGTAACAACTCTCCTTGAATCAGATATGGACCATAAACAAGCCTCATTATCTTCAGTAAACACGTGTCATTTCGGACCTTAGAGCTATAATTATATAGTGTAATAGAGGCTAAGTGAGTCTTCCCTGGCCCTAGCTGGGCCTAGGGGCTAGACTATGTGCGGCTCAGCTTCCGCGCCGTGTCAGAGAACAAGTGTCACGCGCCCCCATGCGCCGTGATTTATGACCGCGAATCCTTCATGATTCAGCCGCGGACCCCCAAAAAACACATTTTTCGGGGCAATGTGGCAAGGGAAATCGGCTCTAACATAACAACGGGCAAGATAGGGCAGCCAAATGTGGTATCAAATTAAAGCTTAGACATCAGAAAAAATGGTGGTATTAAAATTGAAGCGAAAATCCCTGGAAATTCAAACATTTCCTCTGGATTTATAAAAAATAAATCCCCAAACATGAGTTTTGGCGTACTTTGGTTCCTCCCTGGCCCACTGCAGTGGGCCAGGGAGGAACCAAAGTGCGCCAAAGTGCGCCGCGGCGTGGGCTAACATAGAATTCCCGTTATGACTTACTGAAGAGGTTTCGGTTGAGGAATGTGACTGTAAATGTTCCGGACGTACGAAATGTAGAGGATAATTCCAAGGAAAATGGAGAAAAATGCCGTCACAAGAAGACCAAAACCAAATAAAATCAAATTTCCCTCCATTACAAGTTATTCCTCGATTTAGTTTTCTAGTCTTTCCGTGAAGACTCGGCTCCGGGCTCCCACAGTTAGTACGAAATTTAAGAAGGTTATACGATATAACTAGAAGTAAAACTAATATTGGATAGAGTGTGGGTTTTAGGTAGTTAACTTAAAGCTCCTAACAACCACTCCTGTGACCTTTTATTATTTACACAATTTCTTGCTGTCTAGACAGCCTCGAGATCACCGGAGCGAAGATAGGTCAGGAACGTGATTAGCAGTGGCGGATCCAGGGTGGGCCGAAACGGCCACGGCCCCCCCTTTGGCGGCGCAAAAAATTGAGAAGGAAAAAAGAGGAAGAAAAAAAAAAGGAAAAAAAGGGGAAAAAAGGAGAAGATAAAAGAAAAGAGATCGAACAAAAAAGTAAAGAAAAGAGAGAGAGAGTTCAAAAAAGAGGAAAGAAAAAGAAGAGAGGAGCCGGGGAGAAAGAAAAACAACCGGTCGGCCGGTTGTCTTTCTTTGCCGGTTGCCGCGGCCCTACTCAAATGGTAGTGACGGTAACGATGGATAAAGCAGGGACTTGTTAGTTGTATCCCAAGTCCCTGGATAAAGTGACTCTCACACTCTGCCGTGTAGGCCTACCGTGTGCCACCGTGCGCGAAAATGTCTGCGGACGGTGGAGAACGGCGAGGGCACACGGTGGTTCGTTATCAAAGCGGGCAACACGTTAATAGGGCGTTGGCGCTTATTTACACCCGGTGGGACCCGGCGAAAGTTTTGGGCATGTTCAAAACTTTGGCCGGCTGGCACCGGCCGCAAGTAAGCGGCAAGAGGACGGTGTTGAACGGTATGAGGACGGTATGAATACGTTATGAAAACGGTCACACTGTATGAGAAAACGGTCACACTGTATGAACACGTTCACAACACGCTCATAACCCGTTACAGATCGGTGATGAAAAATGGAGAGCGGACTGACCGTTGCCGTTCAAATCGGGGTATTTATGGCAGTCGTGTCATGACGTCAGCAGTCCGGGGACTCGCTCACAGGACGCTCCGAGCGGTGAGGGGACGCTAAGTGACTGGTAGGTGGCTGCTACAAACCCGGTGCACACGTTCGAGACCCGGTATGGGCCCGGTATGGAAACGGCCAAAATTTTCAACAAAAGTCAATCTGGGCGGTGAAGACGGTAGAAGCACGTTCAACATCCGGTATGCGCCCGGTGAGAACGGTCAGAAGATGGCAACGAAACGGTGAAAAGATTAATTTTATGATTTTTTTTTTTTGCGGCCGGGGACAAGTTCGCTCAAAACCCAACGTTCTGGACTCTGTTTTTTTTTTAATAGCCAGGCAGGTGGACGGTAGGCCTACACGGCAGAGTGTGAGAGCTCCGTAAGGGAATAAGGAGGAAGGGATGCACATGCAGGCGTGTACGCAGGGGGGGGGGGGGGGGGGGGGGGGGGGGGGTCGAACCCCCCTCAAATTTTTGTCAAGTTGTCAAGTTGGTCCTGAGGTGTATAATGCGTAGACTAGGGGTTCTCAAACTTTTTCTTTGACGGTCCAGAAGCGATTTCTATGAAAGCTGTAAGGTCCGAAATGACACTTGTATACTGAAGATAATGAGGCTTGTTTTTGGTCAATAAACAATGTTGTATATTATTATTGTATACATGTATATATATATATATATATATATAGTTCTCCTATTCAAACTTCGTCTGTAAAATGCATAATAAATTCGTTTTCGAGGGTTGGCAATGAAAATAGATAAACAGTAGAAACAGATCATGAATAAAGAAATAAACAGCTTGTTCGATTTGTTTTGAAGCATTATCTTTAAAAACCCGGACAGCTTTATCTTTATTATCCTTAAAAAATAACGTCTATAATCACTCTGAGATGGAATAAAATACCAATACGAATTGCATTATGCAACGTCTAAACATAAAGGTCGAGTCCCTGGGGACTTGGATCACGATAATGCCGATAATACTTTACCGATGACCAGATTTCAAGTAAAGTTTACTATAAAGAACCAATTCCGACATTCAGAAATGATTTTCGGTGACTGGTGTGTCAGATGTGATCATTCACAAAGGAAAGGCCAGCACATAAAAAAATTACAGTTCCTCTCTCAGCTCTCTTTACTCATGTGACCTTTGAAAAAGTTCGTTCCCGATTTGGGCGCATGCGGAGTGTGCAATTACGAACTCGCTTATGGATAAAAGAACATCATAATCAGATTATCCGACCCCGGAAACCCAATGAATTCATCAACTTTTATCATACTAGCCCATTTCCTTTCATAACTATACTTGACCTGTAATTCAGATGGCGGTCATTTTGGATTTGACCAATATGACCAGTAAGGCACCCCAAGGAGACCTCAAATCAGTGAAAGAACATCAAAATCAGATTCTCTGACCCCCCCCCCCCAACACTATAATATATAAACTATAATCATACAAGCGCTTTTCCTTTTGGAACTACGCTTGACCTTTAACTCAGATGGCGGCCATTTTTGGATTTGCCCAATATGGCAGTCCCAGAGAGCGCCCTTCTTGGCGTCCGGCAGAAATCGTAATAGTATGGTATAATCTACCTCTGGGGCAAATTTTGTGCTTTTAGAAGAATCTGCACCAAAATATTTCTAACCGCGCCCCACTAATACAAGTATAATTATACTTAATGAATGAAACGACTGGATAACCCATATTCAGCTTTGCCAGCTAGCTAGGGACCACACTACAGGTCTTCCTGGCGCGGGTCCAGGGGGGAGGGGGGGGGGGGCGGGGCGAGAGGGCCTTGACCCCAAACCGCCAACACAAAATGAAGAGAGAGAGAGAAGGGAAAGGGAAAGAAAAGAAAGGTACGGGAGATCAATTGTGATGTTTCCCACCTACGCGGTGTGGATCGGGGGCGAAAGGCCTTCGCCTGCCCTTCCCTGGCAAACAAAAAGAGAGAGAGAGAGAGAAGGAAGGAAAAGAAGGGAAAGGGAAAGAAGAGAGAAGAGGAAAGGAAGAAGAAAGAAAAGTGGGAAAAGAAGGAGATCGGGGGGGGGGGCCGGAAGGGCATTGCCACCCATGCTGTTGCCTCACCCCCCCCCCCCGCAAAACAAGAGAGAAGGAAGGAAAGGGTAAGAAACAAAAGAAGAAAAGAAAAGAAGGGATATCAGTTGGATCGGGGGCGAAAGGCCTTCGCCTGCCCTTCCCTGGCAACAAAGAAGAGAGAGAGAGAGAAGGAGGAAAAGAAGGGAAAGGGAAAGAATAGAAAAGGAAGAAGAAAAGAAAAAGGGGAAAAGAAGGAGATTGGGGGCCGGAACGGCCTTGCCGCCCATGCTGTTGCCCCCCCCCCCCCCCGCAAAACAAGAGAGAAGGAAGGAAAGGGAAAGAAACAAAAGAAGAAAAGAAAAGAAGGACTATCAGTTGCAATTTTTCTGCAAACAAGATGTGGATCGCGGAGAAAGGCCTTTGCCTCTGCCCCCTCCCCGACCACCCACCCCCTCCCCGCCAAAAAAAAAAAAGAGAGAAAAAGAAGGGAAAGGGAAAGAGGAGAGCTAAAATGGAACACAAAAGAGGGAAGAAGAAAAGAAAAGGGTGAAAAGAAACATAGATCAGTTGCGATTAATCCCACCAAAATCGCGTGGATCGGGGGGAGGGGGCGAAGGGCCCCTGCCACCCTCAGCAAACTTAAACGAGAGAGAGAGAGAGAGAGAGAGAGAGAGAAGTAAGGGAAGTGAAAGGGAAAGAGGAGAGAAAGGGACAGAAAACAAAGAGGAAGGGGAAAAAAGGAATTAGGGAAGATCAGTTGCGATTTTCATTGGTTCTTCTATCATCATTTTACAATTATCATTGTACAAATGTATTTATATATTCATTTATTTATTCCTGTTTGATAACAAAAATATGAATATAAACTCATAAACTCAAAACAGCAACAAAATTAAATGTAGGAGGAAACTATCTTGCTAGGAGCAAGAAGCGCAAAAATGATCATTAATATAATTCATATTGTTTTAATTACATCTTGTGAAATAGTATGCATTCAAGCTTTGGGGATTTTTTGTTGGTGTATTTGTATGAAAGAAAGCGTTTGAAGCTTATAATGCACATGTTGCAATTTCAGGTGCAACTTAGTGTTCAAATATGGGACACGCACGGCCAGGCACTAGTGTAGGAAATCTTCAAATGTTAATCAGGTATATGACTAAATTATTTGTCTGTTGCCTTCCGAAAAAGTTTATATTTAGTCAGGCCTGAATTGAGTCGCAAAACAATTATTATTTTAAAAGGAAAAAAAAACATATTTGATGACGTTCAAAATTCCCCAATAACCAATACGATTGGAGAGCGAGTACTCGTTTTTTTTTTCTTCAAAACTTACTTTACTTAAATAGCTGGCCCGGATACTTGAGCCTCTCACAAAACGCAAGTATAGGCCTGATGTGTCATATAAGGTAGATGCAGGCGCGGATCCAGCGGGGTGAGCGGGCCTTACCCCCCCCCCCCCCCTTCCGCAAGAGAGAGAGAGAGAGAGAGAGAGAGAGAGAGAGAAAAGAGAGAGAAGGAAAAGAGGGAAAGGGAAAGAGGAGAGAAGAAAGGGAAAGAAAGAAGAGGAAGAAGAAAAGAAAAGGGGGAAGAAGGAGATCGGGGGGGGGGGGCGAAAGGGCCATGCCTCCCAGGCTGTTTGCCTCCCCCCCCCCCCCAATAAAACAAATAAGAGAGAAGGAAGGAAGGAATAGGAAAGGAAAAGAGGAGATAAAGGGAAGGAAAATTGAGGAAGAACTAAAGAAAAGAAGGGGGATATCATGCAGTTGCAATTTTCCCGCCAACAAGTTGCGGATGGGGTGGGGCAAAAGGTCTTTGCCTCCCCCGCCCCCGCTAAAAAAAATGAGAGAGAAGGAAGGAAAAGGAAAAAGGAGAGCTAAAAGGGACCAAAAAAGAAGAAGAAGAAGAAAAAAAAGGGTGAAAAGAATTTTGATGCGGTGTTCGAGTAGAATTCTGTGAGATGATGATATACTTTCTCGTAGCTTGATGTGACGAAGTGTCTTTATCCAGATATCTGTTGA